CACAGCACAGGGACTGAACTAGTCGGGCCTCTGAGGTCACTTCCAGGTCTGACTCCATCAGACCTTCTGACAGAGCAGAAGGAGCTCTGAGGACGGGATGGAAAGTCTGGAGGCCAGCCTCAGCTCTGTGGGAGGCCTTGGCAAGCCTTCAGCCTCCTCTGCTCTTAGATGCGGGGGGCCTGGGGAATCTCTGCCTAGCCACCTTGTGGGGCTGTACTAGAGCAAACTCTGGCCTTGCAAAACGTCCCAACTGCTGATACAGAGCAGGGAGGGCCAGGCACAAGGGAGTTTGTGTGTGAGGGGAGCCTGAGAGCAGGATTGAGTGGACCTGCATGTCAGCGTCCTCGTCACTGAGAACTGAGATGAACTTCTCTGGTGGCTGGCACAGAAGTCCTGCTGGAGCTCTTCTGCACCACCCTGAGACTCCGTCCTGCCAGGGAACACCTAGCTTCTCTTCAGACTCAAGTGCAGCCTCCTCCCGCTGCGGCTTCTCCCAACCCTCTGTGGCAAGGACCACCCACCAGGTGCCAACTCTGGGCTCCCAAGGCCCAGGCTGAACTGGCCAGGCCTGACACCCTGGGCCCCTGGCCTGGTTGTTCTCACCTCATACCCAGCCCTGTGCCTGGTACAGAGGGCTCTGAAAGATATCTTCTGGGGGAAGGACGAAGGGGTGGGGGCTCTCTCCTCTGAGTCTAGACTCCCCCAAATGCTTTCTGCATCCTGGAACACCCTCACAGTCCAGCAGAGGCTCACATGGAAACGGCCAGAGTCGGAGAACCGGCATAGCTGGAATTCCAATGTCAAAGTGCACACCCTGGCTTTTAACAGCACCCAGCAGGGGAACCAGCCCTGACCCCCTCCCAGCAGGCTGCCGGCAAGTGGAAAGTAGACAGCAGGGCCACATGGTGGCTGGCAAGGGGGTGCTCGCCCAAGTGGCCAGGACACGCGGTACAGGTGTGCTCCTCTGTGGTCCCAGTGATGCACACCAAAGCGCTGCCCCTGGTTGGAGGTCCGACCGTCATGGGGCACTGGGGCTGCTCTAAGGAGCAAGGCCACCTCCCAGGAGTCGGCCGACAGCCCAGCCACAGGAGAGTGCACCTCCCGAATCTGGGCTTCTTCCAGGGAAGGTTGACCAGGAGAGGCCACCTCTCTGGCCTTTGGGGTGGGGGGTTTGCTAATGGCTCTAGACAAGCATACAAAACCAAACCCTCATCACTCGTCCCCCTTGGGCACAGAACAGTCTTGACAACTGGATGCGACAGGATGGGTGCAGTAAGACGACCTGGGGCCTCCTGGCGACTGTTCCTGTCCAGGGTTGTGGTGGCCACTGCACTATCTCCCTCAATCCTTCTCCCTGGCCTGGGAGGTACAGCCGAGCCAGCCAGGGCACACCAAGGACAGAGAGGGGTCTGAGGCTACACACAGGCACACGTGAGGAGTCAGGTAACACCTTGGTGTCAGTATCAAGTGATAGTGAGCATCAGGTCTGACTCTTCCCTGGGCAAATGTGGATGCTGAGACCCAGAGGGGGAGGAGCTTGCCCAAGGTCACACAGTGAGCAGCGAGTGGCAGGACAGGATGCCTGTCCAGAATTTTGGACAATGGGTGTCTTAAAACCCGGTAGATGGCAGGAAGTGGGGGCAGAGTGGGAACAGCACAAGGTAACAATGACGTGGAACTGGCTGGGCTGGGAGCTGACTGTCATTGTCCTAGTGTGTACACGAGGACAACGGAGGCTCTGAGATGGCATGAAAGCCTCAGGCTGGGGAGTGGGGAAGCCAGGCATGAGGCTGCCTCCGCTGTAGCCCAGGCCTCTGGACGACAAGCCTACACTGTGGGGACCAGGACCCAGGTGCTGTCCCTCCCCCGAGAGGGGCCTACTCCCTAAGGAATGGCATACACCAGGGACCGCAGGAGACTGTGTTCATGGCCCCCTGAAACCTGTTCGTGAGGCAGTGTCTGGGCCTGTTTGTGTAATGGGTGTGTGTGTGTGGGGGGGGTGGTGTTGCACAGGGACTGAGAGGTGGAGCCCGCAGGCTGGATGTGGTGGTGGTACTTCTAAAACTGGTAACGCCCCCTCGTCAGCACCCATGCTGGGGCTCATCCTGGGTGCTCCAGAGGCTATTCCCTTGTGGCCGGGCTGCGCTGGAGTCACCACAGGGCTGTTGCACCTTTCCACGGAGAGCATGGAGTCTCAGCAGCAGCGGAGGCTCTGGTCCTTCTGGAGGAGCAGCCAGGCTTGGCCTGGGGCGGTTGCCCCTCCTCTGTGTGTTCCATGGGGATTGCAGGAGGGATGAGACTCACTGAGGAACTCCGGGACTGAAGGGACCAGTGTCCCGGACAGCTGCACACTGCCTGGGTTGTGGGGAAGGCTGGTACAATATGGGTAATGCCACCTGCCTTCCTTGCTTTTTTTTTTTTTTTCCCCCTGGTGAAACTGAAGATGGAACCCGGGGTACTCTACCACCAAGCTATATCCCCACCCCTTTTGTTTTTCGTATTGACACAGGAAGGGGAGGCTGGCCTTAAACTTGCAATCCTCCTGTTTCAGCCTCCCCAGTCACTGGGATCATAGGAGTGCACCACCGTGCCCAGCTTCCCTGGCCTTTTACATCCAGAAGAACGTCATTCACCTGAGTTGCAAGATCATCTCTGGGCAGTGAGGGAGGGTGGCGGGGCTGACTGGGGCAGTGGGAGTTCAGGAGGCCTGGCTCTGTGCACGCTCCCTGTGGCTGCCCTTTCCTCAGTCCAATTATGGTTTCTCTGGCTTTGGCGGCCTCCCACTCAGCCTGCCAGCCCAGTTGCGGTTTAGCACGTTGAGTTCTCCTCTTCCACTGCCATCACTGACCAGATCCTCTGAGCCCGTCAGGTCTGATGGCAGCCAATGAGGCGTGCACGTGCCAGCAGCTTGGAACACAGCAATGTCCTCTCTCTGCCTCCTGGGTGTCCTCCCAGCTGGCTAGAAATGGTTTCCACATCCTCCCTGGCCAGGTGGTGGCCCAGCTTTCTCTAGCTGAATCCCCCAGTAACAAGATGGCCACTACCCTGGGGCGGCTCTGGCCAGCTCTAATTTTGGATCAGCTGTGTTAGAAAACCTGTCCTCGCCCAGGGCTGAACTCTCTGCCCATAACTGCCCCATCTGGGGACCCCTGCAGCCGCCCCTGCTGCCCTGATGGTCCCTGCATGTCTCTGCACACCCCGCTTCTCCCAGAGCCTCTGCCCGATGCCCTCCTAACACTCTGTCACCGTCCTCCTCAGGGCAGCCAGCGGTGCTGGTCTTCACAGAGAGCCCAGGCCAACCTCACCTTCCCCGGCCACACCAAGACCTCTGTCCACACTGCTTTATGTCAGCAAAGAGGACAGCACGCTCCCGACAGGGACGTCCCAGCAGGCCTGCCCTCCGCACGGCCTCAGTAAGCGTGAGGGTGGAGAGGAAGCGGAGGGATGCTCTGCACCTGCCGCCTCAAGGGCCTGGGCTCAAACCCCAGCCGTGTGACTGACTCCGAGTCCTTGGCAAACCCCTCTTTGTGGGAGGCCTTTCCCTATCTATAAAGTAGGTTTTAGAAGCCCTCTTGGGGGCTGGGTTTATGGCTCAGTGAGAGAGTGCTTGCCCAGCCTGGGTGAGGCAGTGGGTTCTATCCTCAGCACCACATAAAAAAATAGATAAATAAAATAAAATTATCATGTCCATCTGTAACTGAGAAAGAAAGAAAGAAAGAAAGAAAGAAAGAAAGAAAGAAAAGAAAAGAAAAGAAAGATCTTTTGGATTCCACCTAGCAATATCACTCAAAATCCCTCTTTTCACTCCTGCACCTGTTCATCCCAACAGTAATACTATATAGATCAGAAAAACCTGACATGGTGGTACAAGCCTATGATCCCAGCTGAAGCAGGAGGATTGCAAGTTCGAGGCCAGCCTGGTAACTCAGTAATACCCTGTCTCAAAATATAAAGGGTTGGGGTTGGGGTTGGGGAGGGAGAATTCATTGGATTAAACAAAGAGGATGGCAGGGAAGGGGTGGGGGATGGGAACAGGAAAGGCAGTGGGATGAATCAGACATGACTTTCCTCTGTTCATCTATGGATACACCATCAGTGAAAGTCCACATCATGCACAGCCACAAGAATGGGATCCTAAGTTATATTCCAAGTATGTTAAAATATGTCATCATATCCATTTTTTTTAAAAGAGAGAGTGTGTGAGAGAGAGAGAGGGAGAAAGAGAGAGAGAATTTTAATATTTATTTTTTAGTTTTCAGTGGACACAACATCTTTGTTGGTATGTGGTGCTGAGGATCGAACCCGGGCTGCACACATGCCAGGCGAGCGCGCTACCGCTTGAGCCACATCCCCAGCCCCTGTCATCATATTTAAACAGAACAAATAAACAACAACAACAAAAAGGGCCAGGGGACTTAGTTCATGGAAGAATGTTCCTGGGTTCGGTCCCTAGCACTCCACACCTCCACGCATCCACTCACAAAGACCTGACAGTTCACACAGCAGCCAGAGGCATCAACACCAGCAGGATTCCACCCTGCCCCCCCCCCATGTTCCTTCCAACCTTTGTGAGACACATGAAAATCAAACCCGCCAAAGGACAACCTGGCGCCTAAGGAGAGAGAAAAGGTTGCTCCTGGGGCCTGGTCCTGCCGCTTGGGCTAAGCCACATGCCCTCTGTGAGCCTCCATTTCCTAATCTGCAGAATGAGAACGATGTGTTCCCCAGAGGACTGAAGTGAGAGGGTCAAGACAGGGATGGGAGACGCTGGGATCTTTGTACGGGCCCTGGCCTGAAGCACAGGAGAAAGCTCCTCCAGGAAAAACAGACTCTACGAAGACCCCTCCTCTCTGGAAGGTGATGATGCAACCACAGAAACCCCCCTGTGACCAGGACAGTGGGACCAAACTGAAGACCCAAGGCTTGAATGAATGCATGTGGGCCGGTCTCCTGGGGGCCCCAGGGGTCTCCTGCAGGCAGAGCGGCCACACGGTACTCACTTCAGGGAGAGGGAGAAGTCGTGCTTGCTGGTCTGGCTGTTCCGGACAAGGTAGCTGCACTCCTTGCAGAGTCGCAGAAGATTCTCGGCGTCTCCTCTGCTGATGGCCCCGTGATACCATCTGGGGAGAGGACAGAGCACGTTCAGGGCCCAGTGTGGACAGGGATGCAGGGCCTGACTTCCTGGGGAGGCTTGGCGTCCTCCGCGGCCAGCTGTGACAAGGCAGGCGTATGTCTGTTCTATTTTATTGCCAATTTACCGAGGGCCTGCCTCGTGCCAGATGCTGGGGAAAGAAAAGTGAACCAAACCCAGAGTCCCCTCCCTTGAGAGGCTCAGGCCGCAGGTCAGGGAGTCAGACAGCAGACGCTCTGGAGTCACACAGGACGCCCTATGATGACAGGTACAATGGAGATGAGGTGAGGCAGGGTCACTTGGCTGGGGGCTGCTATTTTAGGCAAGGTGGCCAGGGAAGGCTAGTGGAGAGAATGGCATTTCAGTGCAGACCTCTGGGGGAGAGAGAGGAGGCCCCGAAGGACAGAGGCTGGAGAGGAGCCTTCCTGGCACAGGGAAGGGCAGCCCATACAAGGGTGCGAAGCAGGAGTCTGCACCGTGGGTCCCGGAAATGGTCAGGGGCCAGTGTGGTTGGAAGCAGCAGGGGATCTGCCTGCAGGTTAGGGTCCAGCCGCTGACCCTGGCTGAGCCTCCACTCTCCACCAAGTTAGGGTCACGGCAGCCCCTTGAGGTTGTGAGAAGGAATCGGGATGACCCACAGTCACCAAAGGTGATTGTGAGCATCACAAAGAGCCTGGGCTAGCCGGCTGCACAGAAGTCACCCCCCTGCACACCCCTGCGCCCAAAGTCCACATCTTCAGCTTCTGTGGGGGTGCTGCCTTCTGATGACTGTTGCCATCGCCGACTTTGTGCCTAGAAGACGCCTTCCACTGCTGGCCGCTGGGCACCTCCTGCCATGAACAGGCAGCAGGTGGCAACAGTGGCCACAACAAAACCATGATCTCAAAAAGTAAATAGCCAGGGCTGGGGCTGGGGCTCAGCGGCAGAGCGCTCGCCTTGCATGCGGGAGGCACTGGGTTCGATCCTCAGCACCACGTAAATAGATAAAGTAGAGGTACTGTGTCCATCTACAGCTAAAAAACATTAAAGAAAAATATAAATAGTCAGCTCTAAAAACCAAGGACCAGGCACCAGATGTGAGATCCCTGTCCAAGCTGTGTGAGGAGGCGCACACCTGGAACCCCAGTGGCTCCAGAGGCAGGAGGATCGTGAGTTCAAAGCCAGCCTCAGCAACTTAGTGAGGCACTAAGCAACTCAGAGAGACCTGCCTCTAAATACAATATCAACTAGGGCCGGGGATGGGGCTCAGTGGGTGAGGACCCGGAGTTCAGTCCCCATCCGGTGGAGGTGTGACGAGCTGCTGCTCACCAGAGCTGGCGTGGAACTAGACATTGCAGAGGAGACCCCGCCAGGGCAGGGGTCAGGGAGCTGACCCCTGCCAGCTGATTCCCCTCTCCAGCTACGTGGAGGAGCCGAGGCTGGGGCTGCAGGGGCGGCCACAGTGAGAACCTCTCCAAAGGCGGTTGAGGGGATAGGGTGCTGTAATGGGGAGAAACAGGCCTGGCTCCAGAAACAGAGCCAACAGATTTGGTGAGATGGTCCTCCGGGGACTGTGCCTGTGTCACACACCCCCAGTGAGCTGACAAAAACGTTTTATTAGGAAAACAACTTCCAGCCATTTGAAGCTGAGCCATCCTCAGGGAAAGGCCTAAAGTGGCCTCCAGGGAAGGGCTGCCCGGAGCCTGTCCCTCCCAGAGCTCAGGAGCTGGCCTGGCTGGCCGGGAGAGACTGGCCTGGATCATCACTGAGGGTAATCCTGTGGTAAACAGGATAAGCCGCCAGTTCCTTTCAGGGTGGAGGATCAAAGGAGCACAGGGCAAAGGGCACTGGATCAGGAGTCAGCTGGGGCACGGCCTGTCGGCGGGAGGCTGTAGAGCAGGCTGGGCTGGGTGGTCCTGTGGGAGCTGGGACCAACTGCTGGGCTTGAGCAGGCTTGCCTGGACCCAAGAGAGTGTCCAGGCAGGAGGCCACCTTAGGGCCGTGCTGGACCCTGTGGAGTAGGCACGTCAGGTCAGGACAATGGCATTGCCCTTCATCCCGTCCAACACCTATCAGCTCATCCAATATTTACTCGCCACTCACTGTCCTTGATCTCATGGGTCTGATGCAGAGAGAAAGAGTCAACAGACATACAGGACACCACTCCATAGTGCAAGGGCTATGTAGGCATACTAGGGTTCCAGTGAGGCAGTGACTGGTGTGGGGGTAGGTGCCTAGTTTGCAATGAACAGTCAGGAAAGGCCCCAGGAGATGACATTTGGCTTATGAACCTATATCACAAAAAGGAATCAATTCTGTCAAGAGCCAAAGGAAACATCATCTCTGTAAAGGAAACAGTAAGTGCAAAGGTCCTGAGGTAAGAATGTGCTTGGGGTGTCCAGAGAGCAAAAAGGTGCAAGGATGTTCCAAGCACTGTTGAGGGCAGAGAGAGGTACAGACAGAATGAGAGTGGAAGGGGAAGCAGCTGAGGCTTTGAGGGCAGAGGGAAGAAGTCTGTTGAGCATATTGAAAAGGAGAAGGTGTTGGGAAGTAGTGTTACTTGCTCTGGAGGATCTTACAAATAAAACATCATCAAGGCTGCCTTGAGGAGGAGCCACGGGGGGAGCAGGAATCAAGTCAGGAGGCGAGTGCAGTGCTTCGTATGGGAGGTGACTGAAGGTGGGAGGAACAGACGGACTCTGGCAGCATTGTGGAGCAAGAATTTGATGAAATTGGTAACGGGGCAGATGCTGTGCGGCAAGGAATCTGGATGACTCCAGGTTTGTGGCTTGAGTGGCAACTAGGCGGACGTGGTGCTGCTGGCGGAGACATGGACGCTGGGGGCCAGTGGGTTTCGTGGTCAGGAGCCCCGTTCTGAACACAGTACATCTGAAAGGCCGTGCAGGCGGCTGGAGGTAGGGGCGGGGAGTTCTGGGAGAGTGGAGGCTGGGAGAGACTCCCCATGGAGAAGGCAGCAGGAACTGAGCCCAGGTCAGAGGCCAGGAGCCACGGAGCAGGTAGAAGCAGTGGCCAGGGAGACGGGATCATGAGATGCAGGAGGGAGCTGGTGGCTGTGCGGACCGCAGGGCGGGGGCAGCGCAGGGAGCCTGGCTGGGGCCTCGGGCAGGAAAGGAGAGCTTGGTCTTGGGTGACCCGGAAGGGGAGGTGACAGACTGGGGAGAAGTACCAAAATTCTTTGGGGACTTTGTTCATTCAGTCAACTGTCCTTTCCTGAGCACCCATTACATGCCAGGCACTGCCCTGAGCCACGGGGAGGAACAGTGGCCTGGACAAACTCCTGCCTTCACAGAGCCACTCTCCACAGAGCAACTGTGAGACGATGTGGGTCAAGGAGATTCGACTTGCTCCGACAGAGATCCCGAATGGAACAGGTTTCCGTGCTGGCGTGATGAGGTGGGGGCGGGGGAGCCCCCAGCTCTGAAGCCTGCAGGATGGGGTGTGTGCAGCGCGACCTACTCCCGCTCAGCTCTCCCGGGAGTGGGCTTATCTGAGCACCTCTGGAGGATGACTCAGGGCCGGGGAGGCCAGCCACGGCTCTGGACTTGGTGGGAGGCCTGGTTGGGGGGGAGTGGGAAAGGAGGAGAACTTGGGACCAAGGCTCTGTCTGGGAATGAGAGACAAGATGGGCTGGGCCCTGCGGACCTGGCCACTGCCCACTGGGATGCACGGAGAACAGCTCCCAGGTATCCCTGGATCCTACACTCTGTTGACCAAGAAGCGCACAGTTTGATCAGAAATAGGCCAACCCTGGTGCACAGTCTGCAGGGCCGCGCGCCTCCCGTGAGCTGCTCTGGGCAGGAACGGCCATCGCGAATGAAGCTGCAGCCCCCTGGGACAACAGCACAGGCTGAAAAAGGCAGCACATGACATCATTCGGAAAACCCTGCATCCTGCTCTCCAAGCGAGAGCTTCCTGAGAGGGGACGCGCCCCTGGCTGCGCAAGACCCGAAGTCCCTGGGCCAAGGCTGAGAGGGGACTCAAAACCCACATGAAAGTCCCGCGAGGGACCCTGCTGGCGTCAGCTAATCTCTTGGCCATTGAGCCAAGCTGTGCTCGTCTCTGGGCGCTGGCATCCAGCGGGATTACAGGCTCCTCCATCTGCTTGTTAGGGGGATGACACACCCCAGGTGCCAACACAGGGCCCCACACCTATTTTATCAAGTTTCTGAAAAGACTCCTTGAGGATAGGGATGTGGCATGGGACAGGATGGAAGAGCAGTCTGGGGACATTTCACAGAGCCGATGGCAGGCCAGGGAGATGGGGCCTTATCCTGGAGATAAAGGGGGGGGGCAATGGCAGTTTCAGAGCAGCACAGGGTCCTCCTGCATATGGTGAGGACCCTGCAGAGTAAGGTGATGACAATCGTGATCAAGAGGAGTCAACATATACCCAAAGAACTTAAAACCAGCCTACTACACTGATGTGGCCACATCGATGTTTACAGCAGCTCAATTCACAATGGCCAAGCTATGGAACCAACCTAGGTGCCTTCAACAGATGAATGGATAAAGAAAATGTGGTATGTCTACATAATGGAATATTACTTGGCCATAAAGAAGAATGAAATTATGACATTTGCTGGTAAATGGATGGAACTGGAGACTATCATGCTAAGTGAAATAAGCCAGTCCCCAGAAAAAGGGCCAGTGTTCTCTCGGATAGGCAGATGCTAACACGGTGGGGGTGGGTGGGTGGATGGGTGGGTGGAGAATAGGAGTTCACTGTGTTAGACAAAGGGGAATGAAGGGAAGAGAGGGGGATGGGAATAGGAAAGACAGTAGAATGAACTGGATGTAACTTTCCTGTGTTCACATATGAATACACGACCAGTGTAACTCCACACCATGTACATCCACAAAAACGGGAAGTGATACTCCATGCTCGTATGTCAAAATACAGTCTATTGTTATTTACAACTAAAGAGAATACATAAAAATTAAAAGAGAGAGAGAGAGAGAGAGAGGCACTAAATGGCCTGGGCCAGCCCAGTGCTGGGTGTGGGGAGGAGGGGCAGGACACCTGGGGGGCAGCAGGGTGGAATATGGCCACTGACTGGAGATGGGAAATCTCTGGAGAAAACCCCAGAGAGTGGAGGACTTACCGGTATCAAGCAGATGGAGACCAAGAAATCGCTTGGTCTCACTGATGGAGGGGACAGGGGTGGCTCGCGCTGAGCTTTACGCACCTGCCTGCTGCGTGGTGAAATTAGAATCTAGGGTGACCCGAGAATCTAGGGTGCACGGTGCAGGCGACTGTGCAGTGCCTCCTACTAGACACAGCGGGGGAGGGTGGCAATGGGGGTGGGGGGACAGGCGGGGCTGGGAGTCACAGGAGCTGGGAGAAAGGGCTCCATGAAAGGCCTGGGTCTCAGTTGTCACCTGACAGAGAAATGAGGAGGGAGGAAAGGAGAGGAGGCCACGGGGTGAGGTGGACTCCATCGCTGCAGACTTACATTTGCTTCTCCAGGGGGACGGCGGGGTCCACCCTTTCTCCCAGGATCCCACAGAACTCGGGGCTCCCATGCTTGATGGGCTTGAAGCCCCCTCCGGGAGCACGGAGCTGGCGCCGCCGGTCCCGCGAGGGTGACGGGGATGACTGCCGTTTCTCACCGCCGTTGAACTGGGCTGAGAGGGAGAGAGAAACGGTTACCGGACCAGCCCGCGGCTCTGGTCGGCACTTCACCATCTGCAGGAGGAAGCTTTTTGAACCTTGAAAAAAACAGCCCCCCTAAATTCTGGCTTCGGCTATGGTCTGAGGGCGCCCTCCCTCCCAAATCCATGAGTTGGAACCTGAGCTCCTCCAATACAGCAGCCTGAGAGGGGACCCAGGGGGAGGTGCTAGTCAGGGGGCAGAGCGTCCCAAAGGGAATAGCGGCCCCCCAGGAAGGGGTGCGACAACTCGAGCAGGTTGCTATGAAGCGGGGGTCCCCCCTCGTGTTCTCTTCTGCAGGTGCCCTGAGGGCTTCTGCTTTCCGCCATCAGTTGACGTGACTCGAGGGTTAGGGTTCTCAAGACAGGACACACAGGTGCCATCAAAGCTGGATTAGGAGTTGGAGGGGCTGGTCGTGTCTTCAGAGTCCACAGAGCTCAGCCTTATCCCTACGGAAATCTTTGACCTCCACCAGGGGTGGGTGTGGCACTCCTGGCCTCCCTCCTCCCTCCCCTCTTCCCAGCCCTCCTAGGGCCATGGCGGTCACATCTGCCCCCTTTCCCCAGGACAGACCGTTCTGAGGCCCTTGGGGGTCACACTGCATCTCCTGAGTTTACTCCTCCTCATTCAGACCCCCCTGCATGGCCAGAGCAGAGCCACACAGGGGACAGGCCCCATGTGCCTCCCAATGCCCTGGGCCTGGGGAGTGTGGTGCACCCCCACAGGCGTTTGGAGGGCAGGACCCTGCAAACACCCCACAGAGTACAGACAAGAATGAACTGTAACTTGAGCTGCCAGAGGGGCTCCCAGAGACCAGCGGTCCACCTTGCAAGCTCTCTCTCTGGGCCTCAGTTTCCTTCTCTGAAAAAAACAGGACGAATGAAGAGCACACACTCCATGGGAGCGGGGCAGATTGGGTGAGGCACGGAGAGGACAAGCAGAGTGCCTGGCAGGCAGCCTGTGCGCGATCAATGTTAAAATCAACACTTTCATCATCATCACGTCTGCTCGGTGCAGACGCAATGCTGGGGGCTTCACGTTCATTACCAAACCAAGCTCTCCCAAGCTGTGTGCCTGGCTGAGTTACTTACCCTGAGTGACCATTTCGAACGTCAATGAGCCATGGTGAAGACAGATGAGATACAGTAAGGGCTTAGTACAAGGTACCCAGCGACCCGAAATGGGCCTGCAGGATGGGGCTCCCGATGCTGAGTCCAGCTGCAGGCCACCATGACCTGGGCTAAGCCTCACAAAGGCAGAAACTCCCCTCTGACCAGCAATGGAGGTGGCAAGCCATGTCTGACCCCGACACAGGGCAATCAACCCTTCTGCTCATAGGAAGCAGAAGGGAGACCCCAGCCACACTGTCACAGTGTGTTGCCTACTGGGACCGAGGAATGTGAAAGAACTTGTTCCACGCCAACCACGAGCAGTCAGGGGCCCTGAGGCATTTCTGTCCCTCTAAGATACTCTTTCTAATTAACCAGTACAGAAAAATGGGAAGGGAGGGTCCTACCAAGGAAAGGCTCCAGACACGCTGGACCCAGCCATTCTTGTGACCCAGAAGGGCATGTGCCAACCTGTGCACCCAGCAGCGGGTCTGGCAGGCTGTGCATCCGTCCACCTATGTCACTCTGAAACCCCCATTCCCAGGTGCCAGGCACAGTTCAAAGCTGGGGAACAAAACGGAACCCCTCCCTGCCCCCACCTGACAGCTCAGGGTCCCGGTGAAGAAGGACCATGTCAACAGCTGGTGACAAGGGCTACAGAGACGAAGACAGCATCACAGGGAAAGCCTCTTGAAAGAGATGTCTAAGTGAATACCTGAAGAAAGGGAGGGACATTTGTGAGAAGGACAATCCCTGCACAGGGAAGCGCAAGTTCCAGGCCCCCCAAGGTGGCTAGGTTTGGAGTGTCCGAGAGGCAAAATGGTCCAGGGTGACTGGCGGGTCGGTGGTCTGGGAGGGACTCTGGCTGTGCTCCGAGAGCTGTTCTGAAGGTTCTAACCCGACTCTTGGTAACAGGATGGCTGTGCTGAGAAAGAGACGGAGGGCAGGGATGCGGGGCTGTCCGTACTTTTCTAAAAAAAAGTTTACTAATTTAAAAAGGCTTACTAATGAAATGGTGGGGAGGGAGATAGAGGGGAACACAGGACTCATTCTGTACTCACAGTAAAGCATGGTGGCGCACGCCTAGAATCCCAGCAGCTTGGGAGGCTGAGGTAGGAGGATTGCAAGTTCAAAGCCAGCCTCAGTAACTTAGTGAGGCCCTGACTCTAACATTTTTAAAAAGTGCTGGGGATGTGGCTCAGTGGTTAAGTGCCCCGGGGTTCAATCCCTAGTATCAAAAAAAAAAAAAAAAAAAAAAAAAGTGAGGTATGGGAGAGAGGGGCAGGTGGCCACAGACTTTGGCCTGAGGACTGGGAGGACCAGCCTGGCTGTGCCCAGGGTAAGGTCACCGAAGGGGCTTCTTCTGCTGGTGGTGGTGGGCTAAAGCCAGGGATGAGGCCTGTGGCACTCAAGTCACCATGGGTGCCTGTCCCTCCCTGGCCTCCCAGAAGCCTGATCTCCCTGGGGGCCCCAGTGAAGCTCCCATAGCAACTGGTCAGATGGGGTGCGTGTTCTTGGGTGGAGGGAGGAAAAGGTGAAGCAGGTTCTGACCTGAGCACCTGTCTTGCGGAGCCCTTAGTGGGTGACTCTGGATGGGGGTGAGCATGAGATCAGATAGTCAGGCGAGGGCCAGGTCCAGAGAAGGGGGGGTACCGGGGATTGAACCCAGGGGCCCTTAATCAGTGGGCCACATCCCCAGCCTTTTTTTTTTTTAATTTAGAGACAGGGTCTCACTGAGTTGCTTAGGGCCTTGCTGAGTTGCTGAGGCTGGGTTTGAACTCATAATCCTACTCAGCCTCTGGAGCTACTGAGATTACGGTGTGCGCCACCACACCTGGCCCAGAGAAGGTCCTTTCTAAAGAGCTCGAACCTCTTCTAGGAAGCACTCTCTGATCATCCCACCCAAGATTCACCTTGATCCCCAATCTCAGTTCCCAGGGAGCCTCTGCAGGCAGGGGCTGTCTTGCCTGCCCTGCCCCCATGCCTACCACAGTACCTGCAGGGTAGCCGGAGAGCAATAAATGCTACGTGAAGACACCTAATGAGCTGCTGTTTTGCTTTACTGGGAAAAAAATATCGGGTTTCTTACCAGATAAATTGGATAAAACCTAAGAACGTTCTAGTCAACACTGTAATTCCCCATTGACTTAATTTATGCATCCGTTGGCAAGCTTAATAATACAGCCATATATTTTAGAGAGAACAGGTGGTGATGAATGACAGGCTTAATTAGGCAAATCATTTCACCTAAAATACAAATATACAAACTCCAAGTGCAGTGATTCGGCAGGCAAAGAAAAAAAAAATTTTAAGAACAAAAGCTCCAAACACAATTGCTTTCGTCCCTTCTAATTAAGTTTCTCTTTAATCTGCAATTTAAAATGGCAATTCTTTTAATTTAGTGATTTTTCTGCAAAAGATAAAGACCCAATCCCTCAAAAGAATACCTGCATTTAGAGGAAAAAAATACGCTACTCCTGAGTTGTTAGCAATGACAGAACCTAATGAATCCTGCCTATAGGCAACTAAAAATGGAAACTAGAATCTACAGGAGGGAGTCCGACTCGGAGTGGGTAGGATGAAGTGCCAGGAGCCTCTCTGACTTTGGTTCTCATGATGGGGACCAGATAGATCCCTGGTAATGGATAGGTGGCCTGTCAATGTCTTCCAGGGCCCAGCCAGGTGTCTTACCCCAAATGTCTTCCAAAAAGTCCCGGCCAGGTGACAGAGCTCGTCCTTTAAGACCCAGCTCAGGTGCCTCCTACCTTCTGGGAGGCTTTCCTGGTCCTTCCACTGGAGGGCTAGAAGTTGGCGGTCCCTTCTGACTCATGTTATAATGACCTTGCATCAATCAGTCCTGAGGTTTAGCTGCTGCCAGAGACGGAAGACGGAGGCACCGGCATTAACTTTCCTACCAACCCTGCCATGGGGGTGACGGGTGAGGGACCTACAGGGTCTCAAAGCCCAGTGGCAGGGTGAGGTTGAGACCAGGACTGTAGGTCTGCAGGGTGGAGCTCGTCTACCTTTGGTCTTCCTTCCCCACAAGAGCACCAAGGGCCGTACAGACAGCGAGGCTTCCCTCCCCTGGTCTCCTCCAGGGCTGAAATGCCAGCCTCCTGCTCTGTCAACATGATGTCTAGAGGCCTCCAAGTTCTGGCACAAGTGCCACTCCTCCATAAAGCTTCCCTTGGAACGGCTTCTGTGGCTCCAGGGGCACCCCACCACTCTTGCCAGTCTGCCAGGGTGTTTTGTGGGGTGGAGCCTGGTCCTGATTTTCTCTTTGCCCCTAAACTGTAGAGCCCAGCATGCAGGGGGTGCTTAGGAAATGCTTGCTAAGATGGAATAAATGGGTTCCTTTGGGTCCATCTCTTTCTCGTCCACTGTTCAGAAGAGGCCAGAGACAGCAACTTTCCAAAAGCCAATGACTTTCTAAGGCACAGGGCTTAGCAATCTCCGGGGCTTACAAACCTTCACTGGCCTCCCCAGGCCCTGGGATAAAAGCCAAAATCCCCACTATGGAGGTCAAGGTGCTTGGTGACCTTCTACAGGCATCTTTCCCTACGAAATCCCTCCGGGCTCCATCCCATCCTGAGGCTCTGGTCACCCAGGATGGCTGGCCCCCAAATCCATCATCTGCCTTTTGGCCTGTGCTTTGTCAGTGTCTGACCTTTGGAGTCCTTCCTCGGGGAGAATTCCCTTTTGCTCCTCTGAGCCCTGAAGTCCCCACACACCACTGTCCCAGCCACGGCTCTTAGAACTGGATGGACACTTGGCAGAGATGAGATTTTTGTGCCTCGGTCTCTCCTGGACATTCCGCTGATGGCGATAAATGGTCCTGGGCCTGAAACAAGGCCAGGGATACAGGA